GTCCCATGTCCTCCCCTTCCATGCAAAGACCTCACCTTCTGCTAGAAAAATTAAGACATGTCTGATGAATTAAGACTCACTGACTGTGGCACATTGCCTTTGGGTATAAAACGCCCTTTCCCAGATTCCTGTCACGGGAACGATTGAAATACTGAGTCAGGGACACCTTCTCCTTCAGTTGTCTCCTACCCTATTTCATGGAGAAGGAGGTGATAAATTCCACATTTACTTCCATTAAAGGGATTTAAAAATTATTGTCCATGTACTATACCTCGGTTGATTGTGCACTACAAGCAACTGCAAATATAACACAATCTAGAAGAAGTATTTTTAACACAGATTTGGGGTCACAGGGAATAACATCAATTTTCAGTGTGTATAACTATTTGGTACAGAGAAGTATGACAGGAACATAGCACAACAGGCTTACAGTCCATAGCATGTAAAAACGCTATCCCTGTAGACAAGGGTGTTTTACAAAAGGATCTGAAAACTGTATTTATTGAGTAAAGTATTTGCCGTGTCAAAACCCAGCACTTTTAGATTTTCAGCTCTTCACTCTTACAGCTGAACTGCTTGGCAGTTGGGGAAAGCTCTACCACACACCATGATGATGTCACATTCTAGTGATAAGCACAATGGTAGGGAGTCATTTGACCAATACTGTGGTATGGTCTTTAGTTGAAATAGCCTATCCAGAAATATGTAAATACTGTATCATTCATTTTGCAATTTTGGCCAATTATGTGTTGATGGTGGAGATGACTGCTCAGTGGATTGTTTTTTTTTTTTCTTTAGAAATATGAATTTCCCCCTCCTTCTCTGCTGAAAGATTATACTTCCCATTCCAGCTGAAGATAGTACTATGGTCTATGTAGAAAATCACAAGGAACTTAAAAACAAACAAAACACCTAGAACTAATAAGTATGCTCAGCAAAGTCACAGGATACAAGATCAAAATGCAAAAATCAATTGTATTTCTATACGAGCAATAAACACATGGGCACCAGAACTAAAATATAGTACCACTTACATTGAGAGAGAGAGAGAGAATAAATATTAGATGCAAATCTACTGGAACCTATTCAAACTGAAAACTACAAAATGCTGATGAAAGAAGTCAAAGACTTAGATAAATAGGGAAGTATTCTGTGTTCATTGATCTAAAGATTCAGTGTAGGAAAGGTGTCAACTCTTTTCAAAATGACATAAGTTTAACACAATTCCCATAAAAACCCAGGTGTGATTTTTTTGTAGAAATAGACATAAGTATTCCAAAATGGAAAGACAAATGGGTTAGAATAACTAAAATGACTCTGAAAAAGAGAGAGTGAAAAAAAATCACCTATGACTTCAAAACTTATACAGACACAGTAATAAAGACTGTGCATTAGTGACCCAGTGATAGGCTTATAAGTCGATGAAACAGTGTAGAGAACCCAGAAATCACTATGTACAAGAACACTAAGTTGTTTCTGACAAAAGTTTCAAAGCAATTCAGTAGAGTAAGAAAAGTCTTAGTCTTTTCAAAAAAGTGGTAGTTGAACAATTGGATATCCATAGGCAAGAAAAACATATTATTTAAAAGCTAACGGAAATGGTTCATAAATGTAAGTAAAACAGAAAACTTTTAGAAAACAAGCTTAGACAATCTGGGGACCTGGGGCTTGGTGGAGAGTTCTTAGACATGACACCAAAAACACAATCCATAAAAGACAATTTTGACTAATTGGATTTCATCAAAATTAAAAACTTGCTCTGCAAAGGACCTCGTTAAGAAGATAAAAAGGCAAGCTACAGACTGGCAGAAAATATTTGCAAACAATATATGTGATAATGGACTCATACTAAAATATACAAAGAACTCTCAAGACTCAACATTAAAACAACAATCAATCCAATTAGAAAGTGAGCAAAAGGGATGAAGAGACATTCCACTAAACAGGATATACAAAAGGGAAACAAGTGCATGAAATGATGTTCAATATCACTAATCATTCAGAAGATGTAAATTAAAACCATGATGAGCTTTCATCACACACCTGTTAGAAGAGATAAATTAAGAAATAATGACACTGCCAATGGCACAACGATGCAGAGACACTGTAACTGTCACACCTTGTAAATGCTACAGCCACTCTGCAGAAAGTACACTTATCATACAATCCAGCATTTATCCCAGAACAATGAAAAGGTATTCCCACACCAAAACCTGCACATTGCTATTCATAGAAGCTTTGTAATAGCCCAAACCTGGAAACAACTGAAGAGTTCCTCAACAGGAGAATGATTAAGCACTATGGTACATCTACACTGTGGAATACTACTCAGTGGTTAAAAACAGAATTATTCATACAGGCAACAGCTGACATGGATCTCAAGGACATTGTGCTAAATGAAAAAGAACAACCAATCTTTTAAAAATATTTTTTTATAATTAAGGTAGTCATCTAATGCAAATCTTTTTTTAAGCTCTTTTTATCTATCTTTAGAGAGAGGAAGGGAGGGAGAAGAATATCAATCAGCTGCCTCTCACATGCCCCCAACTGGGGACTTGGTTGCAACCCAGGCATGTGCCCTGACCAGGAATGGAACTCACAACCTTCCCATTCAGAGACTAGGGCCCAACCCACTGAGCCACACCAGCCAGAGCAGACAGCCAGTCTTAAAGGTCACAGTCATAAGCCTACATTCCTAAAGATAAAAGGTTAATGACCTTGTAAATGGGTCCTGTCCAGCGTCTGCACAGAGGCAGCTGCTAAGAAACAAGTGTCGGTGTTCAGGGACTTCCTGAAAGTTCTGCTCTCTGAGTATAAGAAACGGGAAAAGGAGGTCCTATTATTATTGTTCTTGTTATTACTCTAAATGGCCCCAAACAACATCCAGTAGAAATTGTGGTCACCATGTAATAATTGGAGCAATACATCTAGTTTACTCTCTGTATTCCAGGGGCACCTGCCTTGTGAAAATTGCGCCCTTGCAAGCAAATTAAAATGCCCTCTTTTATCCAACAGATTGTCTGTAAGACTTATGACAGGAAACACACGAGGCGGTTAATTCATCTGTTCCCCCAGGCGCAGAGTGGCTGGGCGACCCCTCAGATGCTGCCCAAGAGGGTCCCCCCAGGTCTACTCTGCGCAACAAACGTCTCCTGGGAGAGAAACCCCCGATTTTGGACTTTTTGTCGGGTTGGAAAAGCGCAGGCCCAGAGGTGAGGGCCTGGGACGTCTGCTCGTGGAAGCGCGGGTCTCCGACCTGCGCGGGAGAGAGGGGCGGGAAAGGAAGAAAAGAAAAAGAGAGTCACGAAAGGTTTTCTCTTGGGCCTTTCACCCGCGTCTCCTCTCCCGACGCGCATCCACCCCGGAATGAAGGCAGCACCCTCCGAGCGCGGAGCCCCATCGGGACAGGGGACAGGACTCACTTTCCACGTCCCCTCCTGTCGTCCTTCCAGCCGAGCAGGGACCCCCTGGGGGGAAGAACTTTCAGCGAAAAGTGAAGGTCTACGTGGGTCAGGAAGAGGCGTCCCTCCCTGACGTCCAAAAAAGAAGGAAGGGGGGCGGGAAGACGCGCACCCAGGCCAGAGACTCCACGCAGATTAAAAGGAGAGTCAGCGTCGCGCTCCCCTGGACCCCGCGAACTGCCCTCGCGCGCGGGGACCAGCTGCAAGGCGATGGGTGTCGTTTCCGGAATAAGTGCGCTTTAAGTTGTCTTCCATATTTCTGAAGAAGAAAGTGGAATGAATCCATACAACGAACTGTGAAAACAAAGTGCACATATTAGGTTTGACTGAAACTGGCTACGAACGAAAAAGTTAAAAAGGGGAAAAACAAAACTGGCTACAGAAATAACATGCCGACTGTCTGTGATCGTTTACTATAAAACAATAAAATGCTTTTTTTCTAAAAATTTTTAAAATTAGAAAACATACCATTTTAAAGGGGGAAATAGACGACTGACTAACTTGGATACAGTCACTATGGAGAAATCAAATAGCCGGTTTTTACACAAACACCACAAGGTCTCGTTTAGTTTGCGGCTCCATAGTTGGCGAACCCAGAGTCAACTGTGTGACTGACGTTCTGAAAGTTTCAAAGCCAAGTAACTTTTAAAGATCACTAAAACGGTTCCTTTTAAAAAGAATGAAGTCGGCCCAGATGGAATCCGATTCTTTCGAGAAAGGTCGCCGGCAAATGAGTTCCCTTCAAAACCCACTCTTGTCCAAAAGCGGGTGCGGAAGCCTCCCACTCGGCTCCGCTCGCGGAGCTCCGGGCCCGCTGCGCCAGGTGGGGCCGCGAGCGGAGAGACAAGGCGGGCTCAGGTGGGCTGAGCTCGGGACCAGCGGCGCTCGCGGGGGCTCGGGTTCCGCGTGGGCAGATGAGACGTCCCGAGGCCCCGCCTGACTCGGGCGAGCAGCGGGAGGGCGCCCGGATTCCGCGCGGGAGGCGAGCCTGGGTGAGGCCGGAGGTGGCTGCGCCCGGAGCGGCCCTCGGGACAGGTGACTGGCACCTGGCGGCCGCAGAAAGGCGAGGGCGGCAGGAAAGAAGCAGCAGCAACTCGGGCGTCCAGTGCCCCCGGCGGCTGTGCCACGACCGCCCTCGGGCTGCGCGGGCGCCCCCACGGGCCTGCGTCCGGGCTCCCTCCGACTCCGGGACCCCGCGCCCGCTGACGCCAGCTCTCCGAGTCCCGGCGACCTCGGCCCCTCGGTCCCGGGCCTGTGCTCCGCGACCGCCCTCGAAATCCTCTCCTCGCCGGGGCTCCCGACTTGGGCCTCAAACAGCAGAGCCTACGGGGTCCCGCGTGACCCTGTTCGCACTCGGCGCTGACTTAGGGTCGCGGGGCCTGTGGGTGTCCAGCGCCCCGAGACCCTCGCACTTTCCTCGCGCCCGGATCCCAACCGTCGCCGAACTCGGCGCGCCTGGACCCGGTGGGGTCGGCGGATGTCGGAGAGCGCGGAGGCCGAAGCCGCCCTCGGAGCCCCCGAGCCGCCCCTCCGCCCTTCATGGGCAGCTACCTGGGCCCACCGCGACCCCCGCCGCCCCCGGCAGAGGCGCGCGCAGACCTGGCCGGGACGCCGGTGGCCCGCCGGCCCTGCCAGGCCCTTCACCAGGTCCACCGGGTGCAGCACGTCCACCGCGCCCACCCCGCCCCTCGGCTCCGGCCTGCGGCAAGGCCGAGGACCTGGGACCCTGCCGACCCCGCCTCGTGGGTGGTGAGTGAGGCCTGGAAGCGCTTCCCCATGAGGCGGCCCCAGAATTCCGTCGTGGGGCCCCTCGCCTCGGACTGGTGGGACAGTTACCTAAAGCGGACTCTCTGGTCGCTTCGCCACCCCAGGGCCGTGTGGAGCCCGGTGACCGTCACAATCACTCCTCGGAGAGGGCTCCCCGCCAAGTCCCCGGCGCAGGCCGTCAGCCTAGCGGGGCCCTCGCCTTCCGAGAAGCCCCCGGACCCACGTGCAAGGGAGACAGTGCTCAGGGCCCTGAGAGAGAGCGAGAAAGGGAGGCTGCGGCTGGAAGCAACCCCGTCCCCGCCTCCCGAAAGGCTGGGCGGTAAGCGGAGGAGTCCGGACGCCAGACCGTCCGCCTTCAAGCCTCTGACGGGAAGCGGAGACCTCGCCTCCTTCGTGCCGAGTCTTGGGCCTCTGAGGAGAAGCCTGGGCCCCTGGAACTCAGACCACAGCCTGCGGAGGAGGCCCGCTTCCTCCCCCGCGAGCTCCTCGGCCAGCTCCCACGCAGGCCGGCCCCTCCGTCCCAAAAGAAATGCAATTACGAGCTCTTACAGCTCCTCCAGAGATCTCTCCGAGCCCTGGAAGAGAAACGTTCTCTGTTCATCCTTCCAGATGCCCGAGTGGCTGGTGAAAAAGAAAACCGGCCAGCAGGATCACTCTGCGGCCCCACTGGCGTCAGAGGAGTCCCGAGCAGCGCCTGGCAGCGGCGGGCAGCAAAAGGAGGCTCTTCCACGGCCGCGCTCTCGCCCTGGGACCCCGCTGTCCCTGAGCCCACCTCCCCAGCTTGGTGATGCAGTCCCTGCTGAGGACCTGGCCTTGGGGATGAAAGCTGGACTCCAGTGGGGCAGCAAAACCAGACAGGGTACAACAGAGGCCACCACAGGGCCTCCCCTATCTGTCACCCTGGAGTGTGCAGGCACAGCTCCAACCCGGGGCACACATCTTCAGGTGGCATCTCCAGGCCCACTGGCCTCCCCGCAGCGGAGGGGAGAGGAAACCAGCGAGGCCCACTCATCTCTGAAGACAGCCAGCCTGCTGGCCTCACCCCTGTGCTCACCGACAGAACCCCTTCCAGGTCCCTCTTGGGACGAAAAGCCCGCAGCCGCCGTCACCCTTATGACCCCTGCTTCTCCCGCATCACCTGTCCCTGTCACCACACGGCCACCTCCGACCAGGCAGGCCGACAGGTCTGCCAGGCCCCCAGACCCACCCACAGAGACCTCTGCATTGCCCTCCACACGGAGGACTTTGTTTGCAACGGGGAGGAAACCAGCTCGCCGTCTTTCTGCGTCTGCACCTCCTGCTGCAGCTTCTGCTGACCCCTCATGGAAACCCGTTCGGGGGCCCCCACCCACCAGTGAGACTGGGGACGCCTTACCGCCCAGGATCTCGGTCACAGCTGCGGCACGTTCACCTGGAGGCATCTCGGTGCCCACCTTCGAGCCCATCTTTGGCGGCACGGAACCGCTCGAAAGTGTGCCCGTGACAGCGCCCTCTTTCAAGCAGGCCTCCCCTCCAGCTCCTCCTGCTTGCACCCACTTCTGCCAGGACCTGGTCAAGGCTGCGTCTGTGGCCACATCCACCCCCCCAAGGAGCACATCCAAAGACTCTTCTTTCAAGCCACCTCTGGATCTGGATGTCGCGGATGTGACTGGTGCTGAGGGCGACACTTACTCTGTCCCTTCCACTTCTCACACTTTTCCCCCTGGGGCTTCCCGTGGCTTCGGGGCCAGCTCCTGCCCAGGCACAGGCTCCAGTGTCCCACCTCCCCAGCATCCCACCATGCCTGCGGCACACACAGCCAGCATCTGTAGCCGGCTTCCTCCCAGTGCTGCCCAGACATCCCCTGGTGAAAGCACTGCCAACTTTAAGCGCAAGGGCAGCCCTCTGTGGGCCTCCGCCCTCATAACCTCAGGCCAGCCCACACTGTTATCTGGCATCTCCAATCCGACCTCAGCAGTCACAGCTCCTTTGGGGTCAAGCTCAAAGCCACCTTCCCCCCTATCCCCGGGAGCCACCCCTCAGCCTGCACTGGGGGCTGCAGGTGAGCAAAAGCAAGGGGCCCCCCAACCAGCCCTTGGCCCAGGCTTCGATAGTTCTGTTTTTAGAAACTCGGCTGTGGCATCCCCCACCCCAGGCCCAGCTCAGCCAGCCCTCAGCAGCCCCACTCAGTCAGCCTTTGTGGTGTTGACACCCTCAGTCCACGCCTTCCACGCCCCTGCCAGCATCCAGCCAGATGCAGGCAGCACCCCAGCAGGTTTCCCCCTCGGCCCAGCGGGCGCCACTGGCTTTGGAGGTATCACCGAGACCCGCCAGAGTGCGGCTCGTGTCTCAGTGTTTGGCAGCACAGCCCCACGACCATTTGCCTTTGGGGGATTAGTGACCCCTATGGACTGTGGGGAGTCTGGAGTCCCAAACATGAGCTCTAAGGCTGGGGTGCTGTCCATTAGAGCAATGCCAAGTGGGACCACTCACGCTGTCACACCGTTTGGAAACGGCTGGAGTCAGAACACCCAGGGCCTGACCAGCCAGAGCACCCCTTTTGCCTCGGGGAGGGCCAGCATTTCTGCAAGGAAGACTATGCTTGGGGGTCCCCCCATGGCCCCCTTAGCTCAGAGCATCCCTGTCCCTAGGCCAGTTAAGACGGGCAGTAGCTTTGGGAATCCTTCTCCACCTGCCAAGGGCTCCGTTGGGAGAGGGTCTTTTAAATCATCAGCCCCTTCATTTTCCATTGGTGCAAAACCAAAAACCCCCAAGAGTCGAGAACAAGGGCACTCCCGAAGGCATCATACCCACAAGAAATAGCCCGAGTCCCTCGTTGTCACCCTGACTCGGACCTCAGTGCTGTCCGGAAGAGCCTCAGTATCTTCTAATCTTGTAAAGCAAAAGTACCCAGATTTAAGGCTAGAGCTTTATGCTCACCTGTGGCTCCTCCTCTAAATGCTGGAAAGTGGGCACCAAGATGTCTAGTGGTGATGGCAGAAAAAAACCGGGTGGGAGATCGGGACTTGAACAGAAACTTCCCCTCCGGCACACCGCTCTCTGCCTCAGGTGTGGGCTCAGTCAGAGCGCTGCCTCCAGCTTGCCCCAGGGAACAGACGTGCCAGGAAGGCAGCAGGTACGGCCCCACCCCTCACCCCTTGCATCTTTGGGAGGAAGAATGGATTTTAAGTCTTAGCTTTTATTTGGTTCTAAGAAGTGGCTCCCTTTCTCTGGTTCCTGACAATGCTGAGTCCTCATTCTTCCTGTGTTGTTCCTCAGTGGGTTCTCGGCGGAGTTCTGATGTAATCTGACCTGGAACCAGCGTTTCCTTGAGGACCAGCGGTCAGTCCTGAGGGTGTGGTGCCACTTCCTCCGACCAAACTGTTTTCCCTGTTTTCCAGGAGAGGTGGCATTCCAGACCCATCCTTCTCTCTGCCAGATTAGCTCCCAAGAGATTGGTGAGTGAAGACTCAGCCTGTCAGATCCACGGGTCACTCCTCATCCAGAACAGGGGAGCTCTGGGCCAGCGTGCCTCCAGGCTGGGAGCGGGCAGGTGGGCCTTGCCTGCTTGTCACGTCTTCACTCACCATTCTCCAGGGTGCATGCAGAGACTCCTCTTCCCTGTGTCTAACGGGATGGCCCGGTTGCTTTCAGGGGAGCTGGAGAAGGAATGACTTGCAGGAGTGGTGCTCTGAGGATAGAACCAGACTTACCTATGCGACGTAAGCCTGGGGCCTAGCTGATGGGATGAGTCAAGTTGCAACACAGTGTGGCTACAAATGCCAATTTTCAAGCTGTTGGGCCTTAAGGGAGGACTTGTCAGGAGGAAGAAGGGCCAGAGCAGGGGCAGGCAGGGTGGTGCAATCTTGCTTCTTCTCCCTACAGCTTACGCTGTGTTACCCCCAGTAGCAGCAAGAAATGCTCAGTTAGGGAAACAAAGCTTACACCTCCTTTTCCTTTTAATTTGCACCTCAAGTTACTCCTCCACATTCACATTTCTCCCGGGCGGGTGGGACAGGCAGGGCAGGAGGCCTCTTGGGCCTGAGAACAGGGTGGGGAAGCAAGGGCAAATACCAAGGCTCTGGAAGCAGTGGCAGGCCTGCGAATGAGCTGTAACACATTGTTTAGCACTTCTTAGCATCCTGAAGGGAAAAAAGGACAAGAACAACTCCCTGAAGACATCTATCTCTCCTGTTTTGCTTTATGGATACCTTTGAAGAGGCCTAATTAGAAAATGAGCCTTAAATTGGTTAATAAAATGAAAATTGTCAAAATAATGTAGATGTCAATGATGTAGAAAGGACTGGGAAACGCAGGCCAATGCAGAGGCAGAAAGATGTTGAGAAACTTGCCCAAGCCCACCCAAGTAGTGAAGGTGAGACTCTGGATTTCAACCCAAATGGCTCCAAAGTCTGGGCTTCTTCCTCTCATATGACCAGTTACCAGATTGGAACTCTAACCCAGGTCTCTGTGACTCTTAAGTATTCATGCTGTTTGCTCCAGCAAAATAAATGGGTGATACTATGTCATATAATTTAATCACATAGTCATGTTTCCATAACCACACACCTCCTGCCACCTTCACCAGATTCTGTCTGTTAGAAGAAAGTCACAGCTTGTGCCAGACACTCAAGGGATGAGATCACACAAGGGCATGACTAATGGTGGGGTGGTGGTTGTGGGGACCCTATGAAGAGTCTGCTTGTTAGGCTGGTTTCTGATCAGTTCATCTCCACCCTCTGACACCTGTGTGCCGTGTCCTACAGTGCCAACATTCTGGGAAATGAAAGAGAAAAAACTAGGCTGGGGTGAGTAGGCATTGCCCATTCAATAGAAGGCACCCAGAAAGGATTTGCTGAATAATTTTATTTTACATGGGATATATTACATATTTTAAAATATTACTTTTTGTTTAATCTTACACTAATGTGCTTGTTCCCATTACAACAAATACTCTTTGAAACTATAATTCTGAAAAGTCCACGTATTTTGCCCAAGTGGAAGATACTCAGGGACCATGAGCTTCACGTCTGCTTTGTGTTCACAAATACTAAAGGCATTAAGCTCACAGATATTTGTTACAATGAACTAAAGATTATAGTTTGTTTTTATATTCCAAGTATTTTTCTTAATAATGCTGAGATGAACATCTCTCTATGAAAATCTTTATGCACATCTGTGTTTCCAAAGGATTGAAACTGAAAAGTGAAATCATTGGGTTAATATGGAGAAACACCTTTAGACTCTTGTTATATATTTCTTTCCAAGTTGTTGGTCTTCGTGTCCCTGCCCAGGGTTATGAGGAGCAAATGAAATGACCTTGACCAATGAAAGATCTTTTTTTCATCTGGAAAGCTTGTCATCTTTTCTATGTTTTCTTTTGACTTGTCTTTCTTTTTCTTATTGAGTTATAGAAGGTTTTTGTTGCTGTTGCTGTTCTCACTGTGAGGATTTTGTATTGCTATATCTTCTCCCACTTAGAAACTTGCATTTCACCCAAATAATGATGTCTTCAGATGATCACACGTTTTTAGCTTTTCTAACTTTCTACTGAAGAATAATATACATTCAGGAAAGTACCCTGAACATCAGGGTAAAGCTCACTGAATTTTCTCACACTGAACACATCAGTGTAACCAGCACCTAAGAAACACCAAATACCCCAAAGGCCCCCTTGTGCAGAGTGATACTTACATTAATCAATGTAAACTTTCAGATTTTTTCTAATACTTCTTCACTCTTTTCAATCATCTGGGCTGTTTTGGGCTTCTTTCCTCAGGACAGTACTTTCTAGCTTCCTTCCATTGTAATCAGAGAAGACGTATTAGTTCAACCTTTTAAAAATTTACTGAGACTTGTATGGCTTCATATAAGTTCTGTTCTGGAGACCGTTTCCTGTGGACTTGAGAAGAATGTGTATTTGACTGTTGTTGGGTGTAGTGTTCTACATATATCAATGGATTTTGTTGACTTAAAGTATTGTTCAAGTTCTCCATTTCCTTTTAAGCCTTCTTTGCGAATGTTCTGTCGGTCATTTAATTTTGTTAATGTTCACTTCATATACATTTGGGACTCTGTGGTATGATGTGTCTGTTGTGCCTCCTTGATGAGTTGATCCTTTATCAACATATACTATCTTTCTTTGTGTTTTGTCGCAGTTTTGACTTAAAGTCTATTTTGTCTAATATTATTATAGCCACCCCAGCTATTGGTTGCTATTTGCATGGAATATCTTTCTCCATCTTTTTGCTATCATTTTAATCGTGACTTAGATCTAAATATCTCATGGACAGCACATCATCAGATCATTTAACATTGTTTATTGAACCAATTTCCGTCTTTTGATTGGAAAATGTAATCCGTTTACAGTTAAAGTACCAATGAGGAAGAATTTACTTGTGCCATTTTGCTTTTTGTTTTATGTATTTCTTATATCATCTTTGTGTCTAATTTCTTTCATTACTGCTCTCTTTGATGTCTAGTTGATTTTTTGTAGTGTAGTATTTTGATAATTTTCTCATTCCTGTTGTTCGTACCTTTTTCTTTAAAATATTTTTTTATTTATTCTTAGAGGGGAAGGAAGGGAGGGAGAGAAACATGGATTGGTTGCCTCACGCACCTCCACTGGGGACCAGCTGCAATCCAGGCCTGTGCCTTGACCAGAATCACCAGAGACCTTTTGCTTTGCAGGAGGATGCCACAGGAGCCAGGGCCTGTTGTGTGTATTTTTAGATATTTTTTAGTGGTTAATTAGAGTTTGTAGCAATTACAAATAACATCCTGAATTTAAAACAATATAGTTTGAGTTGATAGAAACTTACCAACTTAGCTTCAATAGAATACAAAAACTCTGCTCCTCTGCATGTATGTGTCTTTAAGTTTGTTGTTGCCACAAATTGTTTTATACATTGTGTGCCCATGAATATAGATCTATTTTATGTATTTACCTTTTAAATCACCTGGGTTGGAAAAAGAGGAGTTAGAAAACCAAAAAAAAAAAAAAAGTATACTACCTTTGATGTTTGCCTGTGTAGTTACTCCTACTGGAGTTCTGTATTTTCTCAAATGACTTCAAGTTCCTATCTAGTATCCTTTTATTTCAACCTGAAGGAGGTCTTTTCACATTTCTTGTAGGGCACTTAGCAGCAGACTCCCTCAGGGCGCTGCTGTGACAATAAACAAAGAAACATAAGAATTACCCTGACTTGAGGAAGTGAAGAAAGTGATATGCAAACCTGTCAACTATTCAGAGAAATGGGGAGGCAGGGTCTGGCCAAAGATTTGACTGCTCCTTTTGATACAGGGAGATCTGATCAGATCACCTGGGAGAAGCAGGGAGGGACCGTAGGAGGAGGTTGGTAGGAGGAGGTTGGCGGAGGCAATGGTGAACATTCTAGGATGCAATTGGCTGAGAAGTTGAACTCCTCCAGAACAGAATTGTGAGCTAGAAGACTTGAAATAAAAGAAGGGCTCTTGGGCTTCCGCGCTGGCTATTTCTAGCTCTCTTTCCCTGGAGGATGCCTGCATTTCCCAATGGGTAGTATTTTGAGTGGCAGGCACTCCCGGTACAGCCTAGGATCCAGCTGGCCTGGCAGACGGCGGCAGAGTTATTCTTCTCTAGCTGTTTTAGAGGGGACGAGATCCGAGGCAGAAGTCTGCCATTCTTCCAAAATTGTGTAGCTTTTGTATCTTATGTTGTTTTAGTTTGTGAACTAACCCTATAGGAATAAGATAAAAATGAACAGGAGGAAATGCTAGGAGAACTCAGGTATTAGATTTAGCCTTAATTGATAGGCTTAAGTGATTAAAGCTCTAATTAAAGA